GTCCACGGCATAGCCAATGACCGACAGGAGGAAATCCATCTTCTTGCCCCAGGTCTCCCGTTCCTCTTGGTGAACCTCACCCACTAGGGCGGTGGTGGCAGCTGGAATGGAGTGCGGAGTGTCATCTCCTGCACTGAGGCTCAGCACCACTGAGTACCCGTTAGAGGCCTGGCCGGACTCCTTCTTATCCCCAGGGGTGGGGACACCCTTCTGTAGAATTCCATTTTCTTGACACTCTTCTCCATCCTTGCACAGTGATGGCTGCTTCAGAGAATTTAAAGATGTGATCTCCATCCTGTTGGCTAATGGGTGATGCTGATGCCCATTTGCCAAGAACCTGAACTGAATTCTTGGTGCGCGATCTATGTCAATGGGATTGAGAGCTCTGCTGGAAAGGCACACAGAGAAAGGAGAATAGAATTAAGCATTTTACTTGGCTTTGGTATTAACTCATCATACATCTTAAACTACACTGGTTAATGGGATTGCAAGTGCATCTGTTAAATGTGAGACATCCTATTGGCTACGAGAGTCAATAAAATCAACTACTCTCTTCAACCTATACGAGATATCAAACCACAATGAAGTACCCAGGTTGCAGGTTTGGTTCCCAGTCAGCATGCATGTGGAGGCAGATGTTCGATGTTTCTCTCTGTCCCTTTCCCTTCTTCACTCTCTAATATCAATAAAAAAACATATTTTTTTTAAAAAAAACAAACAAACAAAACCCCCCCCAGAAAATCACCCAGGTCCGTCCCAGGCTCTATTTAAGAACAGAGTATTGCCTTTACTTGGGACTGGAATCTCATGCTGGAGTTTACCAGTAACGCAGAAGAATGTAAGAAGAGGGCTCGCTTCACCAAAGCTCCCCGGAGTACTCACTTGGTCCTGGATGTTGTGCTGGGAAAAGAATAACAAATAAAGAGGCAGTTTTGGCCTGCAAGCAGAAAAGGACAGTCCTTTCATTTCAGCTGGACACTCAAAGGATATTTTATGGGAACTACAGGTGTTTACGTGAAGAGGAAAATAGTAAAGGACGGAGGTGAAAAGGCCGACCTTTATGAGGCTCCCGCAGCTCCTGAGCTTTGGACTTTTTCACTCTCCCTGTCGCTCGGCTCTTAAAAGCCTTTGGGCAGCTTCTAGCTGGCGTCTGGCTGTGTCCGGTCCATCTGTGCTTCTCCTTTCTATGTTCCCTAAGGTCCTACCAGGCCTTACACAGCACTGCTGCTCACCATTCATTCTTCTTGCCACTCCCAGCAACTCCTGTGGGAGTTGTTATTCTGCAAGATGAGCAGCAGGTACGCCTCTGATTCACCCCAGAAGATCCAGAGAAAGTAGGTTGGCAGCTACAGATGCCGGTATGGCTGGTACCTCTGTCCCCACACACCGTGGTGGAGAGGGCTGGGCCAGGCCCCCTGAGCCTTCACATCACTGTCGTGTGTCGGGGTGTAGGAAAGCCAGCTCAGCTCGCTCTCCTCTGGATTGAGGTCTGAGACGTCAAACATGGGGTAGAAATTCGAGCCCTTTTGGACTTTAAACCTATAACCTGTTATAAAATAGTAAGCAACCAAAACCTTCCAGCTAATTTCATTTCTTCTGGGCCTGAACCTTTCCAACTCTGGAAATAGTGTGGGAGTTGAAACATGTTTCTGCTTAGCTCAGACCTTTCTAGGAAAATACATCTAGGGATGACTGCCACCCCTATTCAAACTGCAAAGATTTATCCTAATTTTGCAAATCCAACCATTGGAGGATGGCTAGGAATTGGTAGCTAATAAAAATGGCAGGGTATGTGGCCTACATATTTGGGACTTTTAGTGAACATAACTATCACACATGGGAATGTAAAGACAAAGCATAATGAGTGAAAAATTAGAACACAATGTAGTAGATTCACACTGATGACTATATACACAAATATCATGGCAAGAATTAGACATGAACACCAGAGACACAAGTAATTGGAGTTTTAAGTTTGTTGAGTTCTTTTTTTCTGTACAGTAGAAAATAAAAATTCTAAAGGGATTGATTGTTGCCAAAAATGTTATAGCAACAAAAAGAAAACCAGTTCTATGGAAGTAGAGGGTGTATGTACGTAAGGGGTGGGGTAGGTGTACTGGTTTCTACCTTATCTGGCTCTTTGGTCCCCACCCCTGACCTTATCCTGGGCTCAAGGACACAAATACCACTCATAGGAGAATACAAATTTCTGACAAAGAGTGATCTAAATAAAACCCCCATTCTTATCATGTTCACACTGCTCTCCAGCCTCTTCCTGTTCCCTGGGACCTTAACTAAACTGATGAACTTTTGAAATCACTACACATTCTCTCATCCACCATAAATAACTATGAGGCTAAAAAAGCTCTCTCTCTCTCTCTCTCTCTCTCTCTCTCTCTCTCTCTCTCTTTTAGAGGGAGCAAAAGAGTGAAATGTCAATATATTTAAGTGTACAGCTAAATTCAACCGGAACTTGGGAATCTCTGGCTGCGTTGCTTGAAGAAGGCCTCTGTACTCCCCTCCATTCTATATCAACAACATGCTTTCCACATTAAACACTGAAGAATTGGAAGATCAGATGGCAGAAGTAAGGAGCTTTACAACATGCAACCAGATAGTACCCCATGACGGAACCCGCCCATGATTGAGGCCCTCCTAGCCTGATTTTTCTTTCTCCACCTTCAAAACTTTACTCAAAATATACTTCTTCTTATCTTTAGAACTGCAACAGTCCTCTCATTTAAAATAAACTTTAAAGAGTATCACCCAACCTTTCTCCAGCATGTCCACCCTGGTCAATGGGAGTGAAACTTCATCCCTTTCTGAGAATACATTGGTAGGGGAAAAACATTTACTGGTAGCCATACTAGTGACTCATCCCTTTCTTGCTGTAGGAGTCAAATGATTTGTTCTAGATTTCATGGGCTTTCTCTTTTGGAGCACTCTGCAGGGAAGTTGAAAATGTATGTGTTGGTGGACTTTTTGAGGGCCATGTGTCTTCAGGGTCTTCAGGGCCTTGGCCCCCAAGGCATTTATCTGATCTTTTTTCTCTCTCTTTTTATAAAATGTGTTTTTATTGATTTCAGAGAGGAAAGGTGAGGGCGAGAGATAGAAACATCAATGATGAGAGAGAATCACTGATTGGCTGCCTCCTGCACACCCCACACTGGGGATCGAGCCCAGAACCTGAGCATGTGCCCTGACCCCTAATCGAATCGTGGCCTCCTGGTTCGTAAGTTGATACTCAACCACTGAATCATGCTCCCCACTGGGGATGTGCCCGCAACCCAGGTACATGCCCTTGACCGGAATCGAACCCGGGACCTTTCAGTCCGCAGGCCGATGCTCTATCCGCTGAGCCAAACCGGTTTCGGCTGATCTTGATTTCTTGGCAACTGTCATGAGCAGCTCCTAAAAGAATACACACTACTCTCTGTTTTTGTTCTGAGCATTACATTGTTTCCTGAAATATCCCCAGCAGTTAAAATAACGATCAACAGGCTGAAATGGCCCAAGTCATAAGAAAACATGTTGAGAGCGTCCCTCAGCCGACTCAGAGGTTGGTCTTCCCAGAGGCTGGTCTCTTCATCCAGCTCTGCTTTCTCAGGTTCTCCTATTGTGCTCCCACTCCTGACCATAGGAACTCGGGTACAAACACATATGTTACAACTACTTGAA